TGGGATTGGGCAGGACACATGGGGTCCTAACCTGTAGCCAAGGAGTTTTGAGCTTGGGCTCTGAGATCACACTGCCTGACTCGGATGCCTCGATCCACCGCTTCATAGCTCTGTGGTGTCCGGCGTGCTTTTCTGTAAAATTAGAATGCTGACATTGCTTTTCTCAGATGGGAATACTGTAAAGAGTCCTTTGATTATCTGACAAATGCACTGTTTAGGTGCAAAGTTGTTACTCCTAGGGAGCTTTGTCATGGAGGAGGAAAAACAATAAAACCTAAACACATACGATGTGTGCTATGGAGAAAAATGAAGCGGAAGGGGCGTGATGGCTAATAAAATGAGATAGCGGAGCAGTTGACACGTGTAAGCCATCAGTAGATGCTAGCTGTTAACAATCATTGTGATTCATGGATGCTCACTTGTGCTCCAGAAGCAAATAGGCAGACACAACTCAGCTCAGAGCCCCTCGAGGGTTCCAGGGACCTGGCCTGGCTGTAACTAAGCAGAGGTGCGGGGTCTGGCTGCTTGGCTTAGCAACAAGTTGGCGCTGTCACGTAACACCTGTGTCATTTTTGCAGGGGAAAGAAAGATACAACTTCCCCAACCCAAACCCATTTGTGGAGGATGACATGGATAAGAATGAAATCGCCTCCGTTGCATACCGGTATGTCACCTTTGGTGGGGTGTGCACAGACCCAACCCTGGATGGGGCGAAATATCTGCAATTCAGAATTTCAAGTGACCAAATGAGTCCCTTTTTCATTGCAGTTACCGCAGGTGGAAACTTGGGGACGACATCGACCTGATTGTCCGGTGTGAGCACGATGGCGTCATGACCGGAGCCAATGGGGAAGTCTCCTTCATCAACATCAAGACCCTCAACGAGTGGGATTCCCGGGTGAGGCACCTCCGTCACCCTCCTGGGGCCCCACATCTGTCTCCTGCAGGGTGTGTTGTCACAGGCTCGCGTTTGGGAGCCTGTTCTTTTCCCCTCACCTTAACTTAGAGAGTGACAGATTTTTTTTGTCCTCTGAAGTTTTCCCCACTTTGTTCCTCATTGAGAAAGAGACCGTGTGTGTGAGGGTAACTACCTTCTTCCAGGACTTGCTTCCTCTCTGTTCCGTTCTGACCTCCTGTTGGCCTCTGCTGTCTGCGAGCATCTGATTTTGATCTCATTATTTGGGCTGGCAGGTTTCCTGTAAGCCTGGCAGCTCCTTTTTTTGACGTGTTCTTTCACTTACTGCCATCACTACCTTCTTTTCTATCTTCTGATTCTGTCGCCAGCCTTTCACTTACTGAACTCGGGGATTCTAAGATTAGCTCAGATTTGGCTCTTCAGGAGGTACCTCGAATGAAACGTGCTTCCTTTGTTTTTTCTCTTTCCGCTCTCGCATGCTGGTGCACCATGACTGTTGGGCTTCCAGCCTTTCTGGAACTGCCCGGGCTTATGTGCCTGAATTTGAAGTGGGTGGCAGTGCTCCTGGGTGCTGCTGTGCAGAATAAAGGGTTCTCAGTGGGAAGGACAGCTCCTGTTTTGAAGGGGTGTCCAATGAGATGGTGTACAGACGGCTATTGTGCTCTCTGTCTTCATTAGAGCCGAGGGATTAGCATTTAATGCTGATGATCATCCCTAGGTGTTCCTTATCCCCCAACCCTGCTGAAGGAGCACACTGAAAGGTTGGCTGTGACCTTAGCTCTGGCCCAATGGCCTTTTCCACCATAGCCCCCCTGTACATTTGGCATCGTTGTATCTGTGTGGCTTTGCCCTCTGTGCCATTACCTGCATTATTCTGCTCTCGCACATTTCTCAGCTCTCGTCACGTGTTTTTTGCTGGTTCCTCTCCTTTTTTACCCTATGGAGCGTTCCCTTAGGGTCAGCCCCACATAGCTCTTTTTGCCATAATTATTTCTTTAATATAGCTTTATATTTCTTTATACAGTTTTCTTTTGCTCCATAACAAATTCACAAATTTAGAGGCTTAAAACGACATCCATTAGCTCATAGTTTGGTAGGTCAGAAATCTGGCATCATGTGGCCTGGTTCTCTGCTCAGAGTATCAAAAAATTGAAACCAAGGTGTAAGCAAAACTGAACTCATCTAGAGGTTCTGGAAGAAAACCATTTCCAAGCTCATTCTAGTTGGCAGAATTCAGTTCCTTGCAGTTGTAAGGCTGAGGTCCCCCATTCTTTGCCAGCTGTCAGCTGGGGCCTCAGCTCCTAGAGGTCACCCATATTCCTTCCTTGTGGTCTTCTCCATCTTCAAACCGGCCTCATTAAATCCTTCTCATGTGCTGAGTCTCTGACTGCTGTCTCTGATCCCTACACCCAGATTTAAAAGACAGGTGGTTAGGTGAGGCCCACCCAAATGGTCTCCCTAGCTTAACAACCTTAATTACATCTGCAAAATCCTTTTTGACATATAAGGTCGCATAATCATGGTGCTGATATTTCAACATAGTCACAGGGTCCACCCACACTCAAAGGTGGGAGATTCCGCAAGGGCAAGGGTCATTGGGGTCATCTTAGAATTCTCCCTACCCCAAGCCATAACCTTGAACTCTAAAAAATGTTTCCTCAGACCTACTCTGACTCCCCATTCCATTGTTTTTCTGCTAAAATACCTTATCCATCCCATATCCTCATTTCTGTCATTATCTCTGTCCTGGCTGTCCATCAGCTTTGTCTTTCTCCTGCTCACTTAGGCTCAGAGCCTCAAACATCTCCGACTCCAACATGCACGCTTCGCTTTTGCTGCCAGGTGCGGTCTGTCTGCTCACTCAGTTCCGGATCTCACTGACGTCACCCTATTCAGTACACCTCTTATTTTGCATTTGTCTCATAACTGCCTCTTCCCCACCACCTCATTCAGTTTCTCTCTGCCAATTAATTGTCCAAAACACGGCTTCCATCGTGCAGCAGATTTGTAGTCTCTTACAATGCCACAGCAAACTCACATGGGTACTGCAGAATATTTTTAATTTTAGAGGAAACACAGAGACATCTGTCAATACTAGTCCTACGTGGTTTGGACCTAACTTAATAAAAGGGACTCACCAGTATTTCTTTTGGCCTATTGTTGCTATGAAGCAAGAAAGTTTGGAAATCTCTGCCATGTGACCTCCAACCAGTCACTTCACTCTGAGGCCAAGTTCCCATATCTATAAAATAGGTGGCTGGAGAACACAGATTCTGGGGTCTCTTCCTGCGTTGTCTGCATACATACGTGTATATACAACATCAGACTCTGACCTCACCCTCTGCGGGCCTCCACTCCCACCCAAGACTAATCCCGCCTGTCTCCCTCCATGCCTGTCAGATCAGTCCACCTCCAGCCTCTGCCAGTATTCTGCACTTCGTTAGCTGTAGCTCTTCCTCTGTGAAACCCTTCCTTACCACAAAACACACAGTAAACACTTACCTCTGCCATCTATATGGCACTTATTTTTAACTTGTATGCATGTGTGTCCTGGTCTGGATGAGCTCTTATGAAGACAGGAACTGGCATTTGTTGAGTGCCCGCTCTGTGGCAGGTTGTGCAAGGGAGTGACCATGTCTTTGCCTCTTTAATGATGAAAGTCTCACCTCTGGTTTACCTGTGGCCTCACCCACTTCCTGGTCAAGCCCACGAGGGATGTCCTTGTCTGCTGGGGGAGGTACCAGAGCCTGCTTCTGAGCCCGCCTTCTCTCCTGTAACCGGCGCTTTCCTTCTGCAGCACTGTAATGGTGTTGACTGGCGCCAGAAGCTGGACTCTCAGCGAGGGGCTGTCATTGCCACCGAGCTGAAGAACAACAGCTACAAGTTGGCTCGGTGGACCTGCTGTGCATTGCTGGCTGGATCCGAGTACCTCAAGCTTGGGTGAGATTCCTGGCCAGGACTTGTGAGCTCATCTTCTAGAAGGAGGGCTCTGCGGGTAGGGAGATGAGGGCTTGCCTTTTCCCCATTCCCTTGGGAAAAGCATCAGGCCAGGTGTCCCCATTTAACTGATATTTGCCCCCAGGTGTTTCTGTGTCTCTGGGCCGGCCTGCCCCCACCACTAACACCGCATTCCCCCCACTAGTTACGTGTCCCGGTACCATGTGAAAGACTCCTCGCGCCATGTCATCCTGGGCACCCAGCAGTTCAAGCCCAATGAGTTTGCCAGTCAGATCAACCTGAGCGTTGAGAACGCCTGGGGCATCCTGCGCTGCGTCATTGACATTTGCATGAAGCTGGAGGAGGGCAAGTACCTCATCCTGAAGGACCCCAACAAGCAGGTCATTCGCGTCTATAGCCTGCCCGACGGCACCTTCAGCTCCGACGAGGACGATGAGGATGAGGAGGAAGAGGAGGAGGAGGAAGAAGGTTGGTAGTGAGCCTCTTTCGAGTGGGGACCAAGCTCTACAGCCACGGTGCTCTTGAACCTTGATGTAAACCTTGAGAGTTCCCTCAGACTTGACATAATTTGGGGTAGCATTCATTCAGGCTCCAGGAACTGCTGCAAGAGCCTGTGGGGCACGTGAATGGGTTGGGGAGGAGAGTGGTCCTTTAGAGGCGAGAGTGAGGAAGAGGCATCTAGAGAAAGATGATGGAAGTCCCTGATGGTAGCCAGTGGGCTGAAGAACAGATGCTCGGGTTAGTTACACCAGCTTATGCTATCTTTCCTGCTCCGCCGGCTAGGGACTGAAGGGAAAATCTTAGCCCTTTGAGGGTTTGAAAGACTTGACTTGTGAATGGAGGTGTTGAAAACCATAGCAGTTCACCAGTTTGACATGGCTCATTTCTCTAACATTTTGTATCTTTCAGAGGAAGAAACTTAAAGGCACTGGAGTTTGTAAATCCACCGAGCGTAGGAGGGCCCTTGGATGCCTGGTGGAATCTTTGTCTGATACTTTGTTTGACGAATGGAATAAAGTCTAAGTCTCGTCGGTCTCACCCTCATCGCATGCCTGCGTTATGATTGACAGCCCTTCTTCTCCGAGTAGCCCTTGGGAGACGGAGGGTGAGATACAGAAGGATCTTGTCTGAAGGTCATAATCTGGGTTCCATCATTTGTTCTTGAGCATTATGAGTCTTACATTCCTGTTGGAGGGTAAATGCCCTAGATTTTTCTGTTCTTAGAAGCCCGTAAAATTATCCTTTCCTGAAGAGTGTGATCCATGGAGGCCCCTTATGGAGTTCCCCATAAGATGTCCATTTCCACAACATGAGTGCCAGCTGGCTGTGTGCCATAACCACCTACTGCCCCTAGAGACACAAATCTCTAGGACAGGATGAAGCAGGGCCCCGTCTTTGGAAGTTGAGGTGGGGTGGGTTGCAGCTCATGGAGGAGACTGCCTTAGAAGATTTTGACATGTTCCACTGAGTAGTGATCATAACGGTCTGTAACTTGTTTTCAAGCTTGGCGTGGGCTGGTGACAGTCCCAGGCTGGCACCCTCAAAGTGACATCATAAATCAGCTACAGATGTTTAGGATACGTAAAGTTGTTTTTATAAGGGGATAGCGTTCTGTTCTTGACACTATGAAGTAATTACTCTGCCAGGTACACTAAGCTTTCTAGAAATATCTGAGCCTGACACAGAACTTATGCTGGTGGAAGTAATATTGTACAGATAAGGAAACAGGCTCCGCTTTAGAGTCACATTCCTAAAGTTACTATTTTAATCAAAATAATTGACCCTCAAAAACCAAGTAAAACTTTATTGAACTTTGTTGGAGTTACTAGGAAGATGGAGCATAAACATGCTTCTTAGGGCATTTGCAATTTAAGTGAATGAGTGTTAAAAAGTATGCATTAAAGTGGCATGACAAGTGCCAAGAGGTTTCAAAATGAGGCTGCTGCTCACCAAGCTGCCTCTTGAAGACTCATGATGCAATCCAGTGGGATTTGCTGCAACCGATGGGCAGGTAGAAGTTGATTTCATGCTCACTCTCAAAACATTGCACATCAGCATCCACATGTTTCTTTGATCTGTCCCCTTTCATCTGCCCTGCTTGGGACCACCAAGTTAACTGCTGAAAACAATCCTGATTCAAACCCTTCGGTAACATCCTGCTACCTACAATCCCGGCTCAGCCTAGTCTTAAGGCCCTGCCACACCTAACAGTCCTAATTCCCTGTTATTCACCAAATAAGACCAGCAACTATTTTAAGTACTTAAATAATTTGCCAGCCCCCATTCTCAAATATTCAACCACTAAGTAGACCTCCCTACTTTACTTTTGGTTAGAATTTTTCCTGGCCTGTCTGGTTTCAATGTTCAACAAATGTTCGGTGAGGGCCTCCTGTATGCCCTCAAGATACTGGAAAAAAACACGAGGTCACCATAGTGAAAAAGATCATTTCTGCTCTAGTGGAGCTTTTCTCTGATGCTGATACAGGCTATGAAAATTATAGGTAAGTGGCATTCCTTAGTGGGTACTTAGAGGTCACAGCTACTATTTTTAATGAAAAGCTCCAGCCACACAAAGCTGGAAGACCAGAGTTCTTTCCAGACTAGGCATGGCTGCCTTCCCATGAGAACTCTGTCCCATCTCACTGGACTACTTAATGCCCCTTGAAGGTTCCTGTCCTTCCCTCACAAATGTACTGTGTTCTGCCCATGTAAATCTTGAGAAAAATTATGACATTTTAACATACCCATTTGGGGCCTGTGGGAGGAGCTAGGGTTTATGGGAGGAGTTCCTGCCCTGGTAACTTGGGAACGCTACAGGAGAGCTCTAAGGTGGTAACTGCCCCTCCCTGTAACTTCTTCCCTTCTATAAATTGTTCCTCCATTTTTGTCTCTGTGCACAAAGCTCGCCATATTTGCATACACGGAATCATAATCTTTTTTTCCCTAAATATTTTTGATGACATAATACCTAACTTGATTGTTGACAATCACATTCCACCTCAGGAAAACCAGCTACGATCATCTAGTTCACTTGAATGGCAGGTCAGGATCCTTCTGCCATTCTCCACATTCCCTCTGCTTCAGCCACGTGGTTACTGTGCATTAGCAGTGGGTTTATGTTTAAGGACCTTTCCTGGCCTATCATAGGCCACTTTGTTTACATTACCAAGCTCATAAAACATGATTCATGAATGAATAAGAAACGTTTTAGAAAGAGTTCATAATTTGAAGTAAAAGGGGGGGGCATAATTCCAGGCTCCACTTATTAACTTTGTGATCTTAAATCACCCCTAAACCTCCATTTGGCCAATAACTACAGGAAGCTGGAAACAGAATCGGGGCCTACATCACCGGTTGGTGGAAGATCAAGTTAGTCATGCAAGTTTCTTAGTAAACAATAAAATCATTGTAGTGTCCAGATGAGAACTTCAAACCTCTAAATTTTTATAAAATTTTGAGCCAAACCAAGGATATGCCTTGAAGCAAGATCTCAACAGATTGAGAAAAATGCTCAGAATGACAGTTTGCAGTTTCTTTTACGCATTTGAATTGAGGGAATGGAAGAAAGATTACAGGTGAGTGGGAGAAAGCAAGGCAGGATTGGGTTACAGGATAATTAAGGTTCTGTGCTCTCAGTGGTTTCGCTTAAGGGGGTCTGAAACCAGATATATCAAAGGTGTGTGAAGCACAGAATGGACAGTGCTTGCTTTGAGGCAAAGGTAAACCTTTTACTAAAGAAGTTATGTGCCTGGGGCATGACTACTGACCAGGACCGGCTCAGTAATTTATGAGCAGAGCACTGTGAGGTGACTCTATAGAACTCCTTTTTTGTCCATAGTAGCAAATACTTGTTAATTGATTTTTGTGTCCTAGCTTCACCAGCCTGGTTTCCAGGCGCCCAAACCTAGGTAGCCAACTAGTCTTTGGCTACATTAATGGTGCAGTGTAAAAGCTGGGATTACCTCCAAAACATCATCTCCCGTGTCTCACTACAAGGGAAAAAGCACAGCTTGAAAACAAAAGCCCCAGGCCGGTGCTGGATCACTTCTCTAGCCCAGCACCTCACGCCAGCCGGAGGATCTGCACGTGAAGGTCTCCTCTGCGGCCGAGAGACCAAGGCCGCCGGACCGCCCCGGCGTGCTGCGCAACGCGCACGTGACCCCGCCCCCTGCCATTGGCCGGGCGGGCGGGAGAGCGGGGAGGCCTACCGGCGCGATCCAGCTGGGGCGGTCCGGTCCTGACTGTGTGCTGCCTGCGGAGCGGCTGCGAGGTGCGAGCTCGGGTGGGGGGCGGGGGGCGCCGAGGAGGCCGGAGCCGCGGGCGTGGGCACCGCGCACGCGCGGGAGGCGTTTCCTAAACTGCGCGCTAGCGGGAGGGCGGCCTCGAGCCCGCGTGGCAGCAGGTGTGTTCGGCTTCTCTGTCGCGTGACGGAAGAGACTCAGGCACCTGGCTGGGGGCGGGGTCCGTTCAGGCCACACCTCCTTCCGTCTCGAGGGCGGGGGAGTGGCCAAAGATACCTGCCCCTCTGGGGTCTAGCCTGGGGAGGGTACAGGAGGGTTGTTGTACTTCTTTCAAATTAGGGAGAAAATGGGTTAACACCCATCCTCTTCCTACCATGGCAGTAAGAAGAGGGCTGGTGCCCCTGAGAACCGCAGCCCTGAAGGAAATTGGGATTGGGGATTCCTGGGGGGAGCTCCATCCTTCCTTGAGCCAGTGGAGTCGCAGCAAATGAGCTCCGAGGTTTTTAGATACTGGTCCTGGCTCCACCCCAAATCTCAGAGCTCTGGCAAGCCTCTGCCTCTTTCCAGGCCTCTGCTCCTCACGCATTCCCCCTGGCCTCAGGCCATCAGTGGTCCGAGGCCTCACTCTTCTGGTCTGCCACAGGATGGGACTCTCCGTCACAGCCCAGCTGTGGGGCTCCCCGGGGCCGCTCCTAACCATTGCCCTGTACCTGGCTCTCACCCTGCACCTCTCTAAAGCCGTGGCACCCCCACACCGGGACTACTGCGTCCTGGGTGCCGGGCCCGCAGGCCTGCAAATGGCCTACTTCCTGCAGAGGGCAGGAAGGGACTACACGGTATTCGAACGAGCCGCGTGTCCAGGCAGCTTCTTCACACGCTACCCCCGGCACCGCAAGCTCATAAGCATCAACAAGCGGTATACCGGCAGGGCCAACTCCGAGTTCAACCTCCGCCACGACTGGAACTCTCTGCTCAGCCACGACCCTCGGCTGCTCTTCAGACACTACTCCCACGCCTACTTCCCGGATGCCGGCGACATGGTACGCTACCTAGGCGACTTCGCAGACAGGCTGGGGCTCCACGTGCTGTACAACACAACCATCACCCACGTCACTCTGGACAAGGATCGGCAGGCCTGGAATGGCCATTACTTCATCCTGACCGACCAGAAGGGCCAGGCATACCAGTGCAGGTAAGGAACCGGGTCCCGGAGCTCACTTGCTGAAGCTGGGGCCTTTCCTGGAAGAACTGACACCCCTTTGTTGGCTGGGTGGTATGGGAGGAATGGGAAAATTCTTCCATCTCTTGCTCCCACTGAAATTCGTGCCAGGAGGTTCAGCTCAGCCATCATTTGGGCATCTCACGGGAGCCCTAAAAAAAAAAAAAAAAGTGTGATCAAATATGTTTGGAAAATACTAACCAGTTCTTTCCTCCAGGATTTTTCAGCCTTTAACATCTTCATATTCACTGTGACACTCCAACAACATTGGGTGTTCAGCATTGCCTAAGCTTGTGTACCCACAAAACCCTTTTGTAAAACATCTCCTGGAACTAGTGTTCCCCAAAACACATCCTGGGAAATGCTGGGTCGAGTATTAGACGAACTCAGTGGGATATAGAACTGAACAGGAGTGGGAGGCTCTACAGGCAGTGCTGCCAGCATTCAGTTTTAGCTTGCGAGAAAGCTTCACGTCATGTGGACATCTCAAATTCAGAGTCACATACTATATGCAGTTGTTTCATCCTCACCAGGACCCTATGAGGGAGGTTCACTGATCCCTATTTACAGATGAAGAACCGAGGCTCAGAGAAGTTGAGTAACTGGTGCTGTCACATAGTGTTTAAGTGGTGTGGCTGCAATTTGAGCTCATATCTTCCTGATCCCAAAGGCCATGTTCTTTCTGCTGCACCAGACTGCCTCTCACTTCCTGGCCATTAGCCTACACCTGGCTCCCGGCAGGTGCTCCATCAGAGTTCGTCTTCTCGTATCATTTGCCAGAGGCCCAGCCTTGCTCCTTGCTTGTTACTGCCCAGGGATAGAAAGGTTGGGCCAATTTGGACCCTTGCCTTTAGACCGCTGAGCCACAGTGTAAGGGGGCCACATATAAGCAGGGTGGACAAGGGTCACGAAACATGGAGCAATGGGGGCTGTGTATGCACCTTCTACAGGCCTTTGGTTTCTGAAATCACCCTGTGATCAAACCATTCTTCAGCAGGCTGGCAGGATCCGGCTCCCCGGTGGCACCACAGGACTGCAGTCCCCACCAATACAAAGAGCAGGACTTTGGAATCAGGCTGATCTGTGGCCGAGACTGGCTCTGCTCTCTTAGGAGCTTTGGAGGCCATGGGCCCTGCAGGGCCTGCCTCCTCACCTATAAAGCATGCCAGATGACACCCATCAGGGTTGCTTGAGCAGCAAGATGACGCATAAAACACTTAGTACAGGGCTTGGTAGGGAATCACTGCTCAATACATGTCTGCATCTGCCAGGCAAGTCAGAAAGGGGAAAAAGTGGAAGTCTCATTTTCATCACTGAGGGTGACACTTAGCCTGACTGCTGTGTTCAAAATGGGGTAAATTACTCAACTTCTCAGTGGTGCCACCTTCTCCTGTCAGAGTCACATTAATTTTAGTATCTGGTATAATCCCAGTGAGGGGTAAGGGCAGCTGTGTCCACTATAGGTCCATAAACAGATGAATGAAGGAATGAACGTCCTGTTTTCTTTTAGGAGTCAGCAGCCTAGGTGAGGCCGGCGAGCCAGGTGACAGGTCCAAAGAGTGATTGTCGCTTAATGTCTTATAGCTAAGAGACTAAGCCATCTTCCCTCTGTCCTCCACTTGCAGCGTCCTTCTTGTCGCCACTGGTCTGTCAGTCCCCAACCTGGTTGACTTCCCTGGCTCCGAATACGTGGAGGGTTATGAGTCTGTGTCCGTGGACCCCAAGGACTTTGTGGGTCAGAATGTGCTGATCCTGGGCCGTGGGAACTCGGCCTTTGAGACGGCAGAGAACATCTTAGGTGTCACCAACTTTATCCACATGCTGAGCCGCTCCCGGGTCCGGCTCTCCTGGGCCACCCACTACGTAGGAGACCTCAGGTATGCCACGCAGCTGCTGTATGTGTCTCCTGTACTCCAGCCCCCCTAAAGCCGTTCCTGACCGCATCTGGTCTAACCACCCCTTCTCCTCCGAGTCTCCTTGTACCCTATACAGACTCCTTTCTCTCTCCTGGCATGTCTCTTGGGCCCCAGGGCTATCAACAATGGCCTGCTGGACACCTACCAGCTGAAGTCCCTGGACGGGTTGCTCGAGTCCGACCTGACAGATCTGGCTGTCGTGAAGGACCGCGAGGGCAAGTTCCACATCACCCTAAAGTTCTACTTGGAAGAAGGCAACCAGAGTGCCGACGCCATCACCCTCCCCCAGGACGACAGTGACAACTTTGCCATGCGCGTGGCCTACGACCAGGTCATCCGCTGCCTGGGCTGGAATTTTGACTTCTCCATTTTCAACAAGTGAGTGCAAACAGGGAAGGAGCTGGGATCTCCTAGCAAACCCCTCCGCCGCCTCCCTGGGGGGAGCAGTGCCCCGTCCAGAAGCACCAGGGCTCTCAGGACCCCATCCTCAGCGTGGGTGCGGGTGATGCCTGGCTTTTTGCCCAGGCATGAGCTCTCGGCCCCCTGGGCTCCCTTAGGCCCTGCCTCCTGGAGCACCAGCAGCATATCTTCGTCTGTGTTGTAATCCCCCACCCGAGAGATGGGAAAGCAGGCTCAGACAGAAGCAGGAGGTGAATTTGCTGAAGGGCAGTGTGGCAGCTAAGAGCACAGATGGTGGGGTCGATCTGAGGTTCCCTCTTACCCAACCTGTGTGCTCTGGAGAAGTTACTTAACCACGCTGGGCCCCAGTTTCTTCATTGCTCAAATGGGGACCGTAGTTTCTTTCTCCTAGGGCTATTGTGAGGATAAATATAGGGAAATACGTGGCATACAGTATATGCTCAGTAAAATGTTAGCTGCTAAAATTACTTATAACTGTATTTTGAAGAGCGGCTTTGTGGAGCCTCGTCTCTAGACATTGCTACCCCAGTACCTTGGCAAGGCTTAGTATCAAAGAACCCATCCAGTGTTTCACTTTCCTTCTGGCCAAGGCACAGGCAAACAAGGAGGACCTAGACAGCCTGAGCCAGACCCTCCTGTCCCATCAGGTCACACAGAGCCCAGCCTCGAGTCAGGCTTGAATCCTGGCCCTGGCCCTGACCCACCACATCTTTACTCTGAGCCTCAGTTACTCCATCTGTTAAATGGAGATGATTATACCCACCTCCTGCGGTCGCAGTGTCTTTAAATACAATAAGGAATGTAAAACACTTAGCTCAGTGCCTGGCATACAGTTAGTGTTTTATACACAGATTTTTATTAATAATCTTTCTACTCACAGGTCCCTCAGACTCTCTTCAGGGGGTGAGTTCAGCAAGAAGTACCCGCTGGTCAGAGCGAGCTATGAATCCAAGGGAAGCCGGGGTCTCTTTGTACTGGGTACCGCCAGCCACTCTGTGGATTACCGGAAGTCTGCCGGGGGCTTCATCCATGGATTCCGATACACAGGTGAGCCCAGACAGAACCATTCCGGGGTCTGTAAACACACACCTGATTTCCAGCAACCTTAAAGGCATTGCTCATCAGTAGTCGAGTGTCATAAATTCCCTGCCTGGGGCAGACGGCAGTGGGTTTTCGTGGTCTGAGGATATGTCTAGGAAAGCATCAGGTAAGGTATAAAAATACGTACATCACTTCGAGGGGTAAAAAGTATAACTATTGCACTGTGTTGTACAGCTGAAACTAATTCTAAAAATGTGTTTCACAATACAAAATAATAATTAAAAAAAAGTACGTACATCTGGGATGGCATGTTACATGCCTACACCCTGTGCAGGTGAGGCGCATGTATTAGCTTAGCAAGAACACAGCTTGAAGGCTAATTTAGGTTCCTGCCCAGCAGGGTGGCCTCAGAGGGGAGGCCTCATAAGGTCTCTAAGCCGGTGGGACATCCTGCTGTCAGAGGTGTGAAGGAAGGCAACTCCCCACCCTCAGGGGCTGCTGTAAGGACTAAATAAAGCCACGCCTAGGGACCATGCAGCTTTGAAGCATCACACACACAGACTTTTTGGGCACCAACAGATTTCAACAAAAATTGCAATTAGATTATATCAGCTCTTTTTCAGAAATGTAGGTATTGAGTGTATGAACGTTCTGCACTCTCGGTAGCTTGTTGGGTGGGTGCTTTATTGCATGGCGGGTGTTCCATGGGCCAGTTAATTTTGCCGTAAATGCCATACGGGTCCTGCATCCTCACATTTCTGTATTTAATTTGATGCCTCATACTGCCTTATTGCTCATTTTTGCATTTCACTATCCTTCCAGTTTGGCTTAGATAATCATGTTTCACTGTTGATTTGCAGATGATATATTTTATACCCGATGCGTGTTGTCAGAGAAGGAAACCAGGGAGAGAGTGTTAGCAGTCTATAAAGCAGAATATTTGCAAATCGAATACACACACATGCACACAGAATGAGAAGAGTGTCTCTTCAGCTGTGTCTCCCCAACAAGAAACGCTCCTCGTTGTTCCCATGCATGTCATCTCCCTGCACCCATTCTCCTAACAGTCACTGTCCGTCTCTCTTGCTTCCTTCTGCCCCCTGCTCTTTCCCCAGCTCACGTACTTAATCCTTACAACAGCCCCATGAGACAGATCCTGTTATTTCAGTTCCATTTTGCAGGTAAGGAAACTAGGACACAGAGAAGTTAAGTAATTTGCCCAAAGTCACCCAGCCAGTGGGTGGCACGTGCCTGACTGTAACGCTCACAGCTGACCACTAAGCTTCAGGCAAGTGGGGAACAGTCCTGAGTGGACAGGCCACCGACTGCTGTGGTCACTACTACGAGCTGAGGACCCGACGCAGAAGGAGGGTGGTGTGGCTGTACACGGTACACCCTGCCAGGACCTGGCTCATCGTTCAGCTGAGAAACAGGTCCCAAGGGAGACAAGTAGAAAACAGTAAGGCAGAGTAAATAACAGAAGATCAAAGATTGGCAGCACAGACTGGAACCACGCGGAAAGTCAGACATGCTGGAAGCGCTGCCCATCCGCCTCCTGTACCTCTCTGCGGTCCTTCCCTGGCTCGCTCCCTGACTTGGGGCCTCTTCGTCTCTTCTGACTGGTCTTCCTGCCACTGGTCTTTCTGGCTTCCCATCCAGATACCGCAGTACCTGCCAAAACAACCTTTCTTTTTAAAAAAAATCTTCCTTCCTCTGCTTACAGATCTTGAGTGGCTCCCCACCTCCCCTCGGGGAGCCCCAGCTCCTGGGCATGGCAGCCAGAGCTTTGACACCAGCTCAGCTTTCCAGCCCGAACCTGGCCTGCTTTTGAAAACGTGCCAGACTCTCTCAATATATTATTTCTTCACAGATGTGCTCCTTCTGTCGGGGCACTGCCCCCAAACTTCTCTAGCTGTGTAATTCCTCAGCCTTTTGCAAAACTCAGCTTACCCGTTGTTTCCTCCAGAGAGCCAGTTGTCTTGGGAGGCTGCCATCCTCCATGACTGCTGGCCCGCTGAGTCCCCTGTCATGGGTGGTCTGTGGCCTTGCCTTTAGCGGACCGGGGTGTTGTGTTAATTCATTTTGGAAGAGCAGGCACCTGTGTACAGCGCCTCAGTTTCACAGCTGTCAACAGCAGCCCCAGGTATACAGAAAAGCATCTCCCTGTTGTTTTAGACAGCCGTTGCTTTTCTGTCCTTACATATATATATACACAGCACCTCAAAATAGAACTTAGTGACAGATTGGATTCAAGCTGTGAAGAAGAAGAAGCAGTCAAAGCCTTTCTGTTTGCTAGTCTCTGATAGAAGTAGGGGCTGTGAGGTGGGGAGAGGTCTCAGAGGAAGGTTCTGGTTCTGGTTTGGATATACCAGTGTGGAGTGACAGCTGTGGGACTTCCAGATGCAGATGGCCTAAGGGAGGGGTGGGCAAATGATGGCCTGGGGACCCAAACCAGCTGCATCCCTTGATGTAGCTATCCCCTGTGGCTGCGTTCGCACCAGAGGCAGAATTGAGCAGTGAGAGAGACTGCGAAGCCAAAAATGCTTCCCATCTGGCCCTCTGCAGAAACCATGTGCTGACCCCGCTCTAAAGGCGTCTTCTTGGCACCGTGCACAGTGTCTTGAGTTCGCTGAAGTTGATGGGGACCTTCTGTCCCTCCTGATGGTAAGAGATAAAGTTCTAAGTGCAGCATGCCACCCCTCCCTCGGGCCGTTTCAGTGCGTGCTGTTCACCGGCTGCTGGAACACCGCCACCATGGCGTCGCCTGGCCCTCCACCGAGCACCCCATCACACAGCTGACCAGCTCCATCCTCCGGCGTGTGAACGAGGCTTCCGGGCTCTACCAGATGTTCAGTGTGTTGGCTGACGTCGTCCTGTTGAAGGAGTGAGTAGCCCACCCCCACCACACTCCCCTCCACCTGCCTCACCATAGACATCCTATCACAGCTCTTCTCTTCCTAGTCCAGGTGTGGAATTTCCAGGTATGGAATAGCCCAGTGGTTCCTTCCTAAGATGAAGCCTGAGGAGGGACGTGGCTGGGGAGTGGGGGGTGGGCGGTGGATTTATTCTGGGGAAAATCAGTGAAATCGCCACCAGCTCTGCAGCTGGACAGACAGATATGGGTATTGATCCTGGCTCTGCCTCTTGTCTACCTGTGTGACCTTGGGCAAGTTAATTAGCCTCTCTGAGCCTTTCATCTGCAAAATGGGAATAATAACACCTACCTTGCAAGACTATAGGAAGGAGTAAAGGTAACTCGTAGGAAGCATTGGGTGTCAAGATGAGCAGTAAACTGCAACATGAGAGCACAACCAATGTGATTTAAGAGTTCCCTGGTGGCTCCGTGCCAGTCAAGTGATGAGGGGACACTTCCTGAGCAGGAAACTGTGGAAGGGCTGGAGAGGGAGGGCCTCAAAGGGCAGGTGGCAGATGAGACTGAGGAAGAACCCTTAGCGGGAACAGCCTGGTCCAAAGCCAGAGGGTGCAGCAGCACACCAAGTTCAGGGACGTGCAAGAAATTCAGCAGCGCTCAGCGAAAAAACTTCCCATCATTCTGAATTCCTCTTTCACACCCATTCACCACATTCACACTATCTGTAAATCCTGTCTGCTCTACCGTCAAATTACATCTAGAACCTGACCACCTCTTACCAGCTCCACACTGCCAGCTTGGTCCGGCCCGCCAGCGTCACTCACCTGCACTGAGATAGCAGTGGTCTGCTCTTAACATGGTGGCCAGGGTGGTCCTTTTAAAATGTGAGTCACACGAATTCATCTCTGCTCTGCTCAATACCCTCCAGGGGCCAGTGGCTTCGCTTCAGTCCAGATGAAACCAGAAGTTCCCATCATGACACACACAAGCCCTCCCTGCCCTCCTGCCACGGACCTCCGAGCATCTCCTGTCCTCGCCCCCTCGACTCCACTCCAGGCCCTCTGGCCTTCCTCCTGTCCCTTGAACACACCGAGGAAGTCACCCTTCACCCCACCCCAAGGCTTTTCCATTACTCTTCCCTCAGCCTGGGTCATCCTTTCCCCCAGTCACCATTTCAGGTTACTCTGTTTTCTGGAATCCATCCTGCGTGTAAGTCAGGGCTCAGCAATAAGTAATATTAAAGTGAGGGATCGGGGCTGCTCAGAGTTTGCACACTTTTTGGAGGGAATAGATACTCACGTACACACACACACACGCCTCCGGGTACACTCCTCTCGCCTCTGCTGCAGCCCTGAGGGTCCTGTCCCCCCACTTTGCCGTTACCCCCAGGAATGCCACAGCATTCGAGTACCTGGAGGAGTTCCCCATGCAGGTGCTGGCCCAGCTGGAGACGATCACAGGAAGGCAGGCCAGGCATGGGCTGTTCGTCATCAACATGGAGTATGGCAGAAATTTCTCCGGACCCGACAAGGACGTCTTCTTCTATGACCGGTCTGTAGGGCACACGGAAGACGCCTGGCAGTCTAACTTCCTCCACCCTGTCATCTACTACTACAGGCACCTGCCCACCGGTAAGCCAGGCCGCTGCTTCCCCCCGAGCCCGGGCACTCCTCAGACCTCACTGTGTGTCGAGTTGTCACCACATAGTGACAACCTCCTCCAGGCACCACATAGTGAGAGGGACACTGTTTTGCTGTGTGTCTCCAAAGGAGGCTGACCATGGAGTGGGGAGGGGGGACTTGGACACTGACCATTAGAAGTCACAGGGAAAGGAACTGGAACTGGTTAGCGCCGGAGTGTAGCGGCAGAATACAGAAAGCTGGGCAGTGTCCCCAGGCTGTCCTTTCCTTGCTGTGTAACCTTGGACCACGTCTTAGCCTCAGCTTCCCCATCTGTAAAATGGGGATAAAAATAGTACCTTCTTTATAGAATGGTGTGAGGGTAAATGAGATAACATTTACAGAATGCCAGCATGGTACCTGGCACAGAGTAGCTATCAAGAGATGAACCCCCTGGGGAACACGACTCCCGCTTCAGAACTTGAAGGGCTGTCACTTGGAAGAGGGTGACCTAAAAAAAGGCAGAAGTGGTATCAATAGGCAGAAGTGACGGGAACACAGGTTTATAGTCAATATACGGAGCAACTAATAGTCAAAGCTATCTGACAGTGGAAGGGGTTGCCTCCTAGACTTCAATTTCCCAATACAGGAATGGCTGGTCATGGCTTGAGGCCAGCTGACAGGGACACCACAGAGGGGAGTACACACCAGGGGGACATGGACTAGATGAGCTCTGAGGCCCCTTTGGATGCAGGGCCTGAGTCTGCTCACAGAAAGACCAGCTTTGAAGCAGCCACAAAAGACCTCAGTCCACGTGAGTCTTAGAAAAACACCAAGTTCAAGTGATTACCCTTAGTTCTGCCCTCTGATACCATAAGGGACCCGTCTAGTCTTGTCCCGCCTCTTTATGCTAACCTGCCAAACATTTGGAGATGGCTGTTGAACAAGCCGACCATGACTGTCACAGAGGCATATCAGGAAAGCCAAGTATGAGTGAGGAAGGAGGCATTGGGAACACGCGGGAACCAAGCCATCGGCTCCGGGATGGGAAGCCCAGCCGCGGGGCTCTGATGCGGCCCCCACCTCATCCCCACAGAGCAGGATGTGAGGTTCCGCCCTGCAGACTGGCCCCTGCCTCGACCCACGGCCATCCACCACATCGTGGAAGATTTCTTGACAGACTGGACCGCCCCAGTGGGCCACATTCTACCTCTGAGGCGCTTCCTGGAGAACTGTTTGGACACCGATTTGCGAAGCTTCTATGCAGGTAACAAGTTCCCAGAGCAGCGGTTCTCAACCTATGGTTTGCGACCCCTTTGGGAGTCGAACGACCCTTTCACAGGGGTCGCCTAAGACCGTCGGAAAACAAAAAGATATTTACATTACGATTCATAACAATAGCACAAATTACAGTTATAGAGTAGCAACGAAAATAATTTTATGGTTGGGGGTCACCACAACATGAGGAACTGTATTAAGGGGTCACAGCATTAGGAAGGTTGAGAACCGCTGTCCCAGAGGGACAAAAGGACTGAGCTAGAGGCTGAAAAGAGACCAGACAGATCCATGCCCTGGGGAGTTGCAGGACGCACATCTAGGAACCCAAACCTGAGACTTCTCTTCCCCACAACACGGTGGACTAGATGTTCACAGAAATCCCTCCCGGCACAACACCTAAAAACGTGAATCAAATGTTTTTTTTAAAGAACTGGCAGGAAAATAAGGGAACTTCCCAGAGGCCAGATACTAAGAAAGGCATAAACCCAAGCTGAACGTGGGTTATCTGCTGGTCATCAGTAGCCTAGAGCCTGAGTACTGGAGCAGCACTTGCAGGTGGGAAAGGCGAGGCTGGAGCAGGGTGACAGGTCTGTTTAGAGACCCTCCAAGAAGCTTGGATCTCAGTGAATAAACTAGGAGGCAAAAAACACTCCCAAGATGGAGATGCTTTTTGGCTCTGGGTGGAGTAGGGGGAAATCTCCCCTGAGAATTTCCAACCACTAGGCCTCACTCTTATGAGTTTGGGGCCAAACTTCACACTATCATTGTGGTGCAGAAATCATAGAAGTAAATTCAAGTCTTCTGTGAAGAAACACACTTCAACATAGGTCTCAAAAAGTTCCCACAGATAAAGGAACATAAACTCCCAAGCAAAAATGACTTAACACAAGGACACAAACCACCATGAGGGGAGGAGTGTCAGCAGAAACAGCAACTGTAGGATCAAACCAAAACACTGCAGGAATTGGAATGGTCAGATAGAGGATATAAAGTCCGTCTAAATTATATAAAGAAATAAAAAAGAGATTATGGAAAATTCAGTTGACTGGGCAGTTTTGAGAAAGATCCACATAAAGCTTCTGGAAATGAAAAAATAAATTTGTAATTAGAAACTCAACATAAAGTAGCACATTAGACAGAGATGAAGAGAGAATTGGTGAACTGGAAGATAGCTCTGACAGCCTAACCCAGACGGGGACTTGGGAGGAGAAATCTAATGATCCAGAGGGAGAACTCGTTGAAACAAGTCAAATTTTTGAGGTTTTTTTAACCCCTGAATGCCCAGGATATCCATTCTTCTGTTCAGCAAACACCTGTTGAACACCAATTTTGTATCAGGCACTGTTCATATCAAATCAGGTTAGAGAGAGAGTCAGTCCCCTGGCCTACAGGTCAGAGAGGAAGTGGGGCCTTGTTTCATCCCCAGCTGACATCCTCAGTCCACTTTGAAGTAAAAATGTATATATTAAGAGAGGTGGCTTTAAACAATAGCTTAAATTAATAGTCTAAATATTTGTAGATGCTCAGAGGTAATTCAGAGAGCAGAATACTAGCATTCTGCCAACTATCAACCTTGACCATACATTTGCACATGAAATTACATGTTACAGCTCTAGAGACCTCAGCTACAAAACCCCTGCCTGTTTCTTGAGGTCTCAGGAGTACACAAAGATGCCAGTACCGATGAAGGAGCATATTTCCACCCTGAGTATGGTTCTTCCCGAAGCATTGTGACAGGCCCTTTAGCCTCCTAAATACTGCTCAACAGTATAAGCCACTATGTGTCACTGCCTTGAACCTGGAAGAATCCTACCAGCAAAGGGCCAGCTGGCAGAGGGTGGGCTTTTCCTCAGTCCCCTTAGCTGAGGTGCAGCTGCTACTTCTAGCCCAGATTCGGCTGGGCTTCTCTGCCCGCCGACCCCTGCAGAAGGGGTGATGTATGCCATCAGAAGGTGGTGCTCACCAACAGGCCACCTTGCTGCCCCTCTACCATCCTCCCCCACATGCGCTGTCTCCCTGCTCGGAGAGGATTGTCATGGCCTGTTCTGCCAGGGGCCCTGTGCTGTAAGTCAAAAGTGAAGTAGGAAATAATATTTGTGTAGCACCTTACATCCTGTTCACCCATGTAAGTTCACAACATCCATTGCAATATGCCCTTTTTTTTTTTTAGATGAAAAACTCAAGCTAGTTTTCTGACACTCCATCTTCCCATCCTGTCTCTAAAGCCCTCAGAAAACTGAGCCCATATCTGTTTCATCTTTTCTGTTTTTTAAACCCAAGTTATGTAATAACTTGGCTAAAAGGCTTTTCCATTCTCATTATCCAGAAGGAACTATTTCTAGCTCTTCTAGAGGTTTCTTCTTATTTCTAAGTAATACGTAGCCACCCGATTTCCTGATTGGTCAGATTTGATCTACGTAGCACCTGTGCTGTGGCACAGAGGAGGATAAATCACTGGTGCGGAGTGACCGGTTTTCTCTTTATAACCCCCACAGTGCTGAGAACAGGGCTCACACACAGTGTCTGCAACTCCAATATTGTTGAGGGAATAAATCTTTGCAGGCAGCTGTGAGCTCAAAATGGAACTGACCAAGTTCCCAGAAGGCTGAGCCCCCACCTCGGGCTGAGCATCGTGCTGGGCCTGATCTCAGGAAGCTGAGTCATTTCTGTGGTTTGCTTTCCTTTTTTTTTTTTTAGCTGAGCCATCCTGCCGCCTGTTGGCAGCTCAGCTCGGGCCGGGACTTGAACCGCTGTTGCTCAGAGCTCACACTCTTGAGCGAGCTCTTAACCAACTGAGCCACTCGGCCGGCCTCTGCTTTCCTTTTAGAGCCTTGCTTTCCCATCTCCCCAAAAGTCAAGGCATGAGTTCTGGGGGATGAGTTCCATGGCTACTCGGGTCAGACGTGAGGTACCCAGAAAAGTGGGCTCCAAGCTCCAGGGTGGAGGCTGCTGGGGAGGCCCCCAGGGCACTGGCAGCCTCTCCTGTACCTCTCTCCACACCTCTCAGCCTGACTCACTCATCTCCTTTTGCTTTTGTGTAGAGTCCTGTTTCCTGTTCGCCCTAACGCGCCAGAAGCTGCCGCCCTTTTGCCAGCAGGGGTACCTGAGAACACAGGGGCTGGTGGGAACCAAGAGCCTGCGGCAGCACAGAGTGGAGAGTGGGGCTCTGCAGGACCATGCCGCTGCAGGCAGGCGCAGGGAGGACAGCGGCCGGTGGCCTGGCTCCCATAGGCCCGTAGGTCACCCCCAGACTCCAGGGCCTCTGGTCCAGCCCCTCAACAGCAACAAGGAGGAGCTGTGATGGCCAGGCCTCTCCCACCCAGGCCCATGTCAGCCCTCCTCTTCTCCAAGCCCCAGGCTCCCACTGCCGAAGACCACTCAGGTCTTTGCAGTGACCACACCAAAGCCACACACAGGTCACGTAAGGGCTGAAGGGCTGCCATGCTGTGGTCTCCCCTCCTGTTCGATCCACAGGTGCCCGGGAGGCAGGGTCCAGAGAAGGGCAACCTCTGCCAGGTGGGAGCCGCCTTCCACGGCCAGGCATATCTGCAAATGAACTGTCGCTGAGCACCAGGCTGGCCTCAGTTCAGTCTCCATCAAATGACCAGCGGTTCCTTTTCCTTCTGGTCTACTCATGGGCCCAAATCGTGCCGATCCTCACCTTCATAAGGGTTTGTTGCAGGCTCTTTAAAACAAAAGCTCTAATATCCTCAATCGTATAGGGCAGGTAGGACTATTACCCCAATGAAAAAGACACTAGCACAGAGAGGTGAGGTGACTCCCAGGGTCCCAGCCAGGAGTCCCTGCCTGGGTAGCTCTAAAGCCTATTCCACCGAGGCACTGCCTCGCCCTGCCCCCTTCTCTCTTTTCAGAAAGGGGGTTGGGGGGCTGGGTTGATCCGTATAGGCCCAGGGGCTGTCATCTGGCAGAGACAGCCATCTTATCTAAGCAGCTTTCTCCCTGAGCAGCAGAGCTCTGAACTCCTTTGTCCCCAAGACTGCACTCCCTGACTTATCTTCAATCCCTGTGCTCTCTCTCTCATCCTGCCCTCTGGCGTCCTGAACAACAAACAATCAAGTTTTGTAGAGCTGTCACCATGCTGTCTTTCAGCGGGGACTTTCTGAGGTGAGTCACCCTGCTGTTTGAACTGAGCCCTGCTCAGCTTGTGCAGAGACATTTTATAAATGCGTTTGTACCGATAACGCTGGTGAATTCAGTTTCCGGACCCCTTAGCTGTTCCGGCTTTGTTGTCCGTCCTTCCTCATCAGGAATGTGCTCCCTGCTTTTCTCTCCCGCCGTCCTGTTTATGAGTGAGCCATGGGAAAGCATTTGTACATAAGATAATCATGGTGGTTGTTCAAGGCCCGGATCATGGGTGATTGCCTCCTCACTGGTTCTTACTAGCCCTTCATGTAGCCACTCAGAATTCAAGGGCCTCCGGCTTTCTGGCTCCACAGCCCTTTTCTGGGAACATTCTCTTGGCAGGTCCAAATTCCCTTCCACACCTGGCCAGGCTGCCTCTCCCTCTAGTCATCTGTGGAGTTAGAACAATGAAACTCCAGCCGCCTTAGCCTGTGGGCAGGAGCTGTTTACCCCATGACAATACTTGGCATAGTTTGCATTGCAGCCGAGACTTCTAAATTAATCTCTCCCTAGTCCAAGGGTGTGTGTTCATCTTTCTCATACAGATTATAGACAGGTAAACCAAAATTGGGTCCTTCAGCCCATCCTTCCATTTCCAAAACCTTTTAATTAGGACTGTATCCATGCTATCAAATCCTGTTACACACATCTCGCCTCTCCAATCACTGAAGGTTGGTTGAGCCCCTTGTTCCAATAGAAGCTCAAGGTGCTGTAACAAATGGTTCACTGATGCCTGAATATGACGTCTGCTGCTTTTCCCCTCACCTGCCAAATCGTCAATTCCATCACAATATCAGCCAGCCTTATTTGTGTTTAATAGGTCATGCTTCCATTCTTGCTCAGAGGATTAGAGATGTCTGAGCAGTGTCCCTGGTATTCTTGTAATAGTTGGCTTCAAACAAATACTTTTTTCCTATAACGACCATTCCTGCATTTGCTGGAAGTCCTGTCTAGATCTTCCATCTGAGCAGATCTCATTGTTTGCAGCTAGACCAAGTTCCTCTTCTAACCAAGGCCTGCCTTCATTCATTCCTTCATTTTTTAATATTACAAAGTTGCTGGTGCAAAATAGACAAACTGGTGAAAGATGAGGCCAGAAATAGACCCTAGTTGGGGGTGATTTTGAAAAGAAATCACAAACCAGTGGAAAAGATTGTGCAGGACCATGCAATAAAATATAGAAAAGAAAATAAATCTCAGTTTAGACTATTTCATACTATATTTCAAAACTAATTCCAGATGAATTTTTAAAAGCCATATAGAAACTGGAGAAGAATGGGGGATACTATAATAAACGAAAGGCCTTTCTAAGCTTAGAAGCAACAGAGTAATTCCCCAGAGGAAAAGGTGTAACATTTCCAGATACACCCACCTAGCCTGCACCTAATTAATATGACCATTTTAAAGAAAATGGTAAAAATTAAAAGGCAATACACTTGATTATACAAATAATAAACATATAAAAATGTGTTTAGGGCCGGCCGAGGGGCACGTTGGTTAAGAGCTGCCAGCTTTGAGCAGCAGGGCCCCGGTTCAGATCCACATGAGGGCCAGTGACACTGC